TGAAGGGAATTATGAGTTCCTTGTGATGCCTTTGGGACTCTCAAACGCCCCTGCAACTTTTCATGCAGCTATGACCCAAATATTTATACCCTACTTGAGGAAATTCGTCATTGTAATTTTTGATGACATTCTTATATACAGTCATTCGTTTTCTGATCATGTCCAGCATTTAAGACTTGCTCTTCAATGCTTGCATCAGCATAATTTTTTTTTCAAGTTCAGTAAGTGTGCTTTTGGAGTGGTTGAGCTTTCTTATTTGGGACATATTGTGGGTGTTGAAGGTGTTAAGGCAGATCCCAAGAAGGTGGCTGCTATGGTTGATTGGCCACAACCCCATTCTATTAAACAACTTCGGGCTTTTTTTTGGGTTTAACTAGCTATTATCGAAAATTTGTTCAGCACTATGCTGCCATTGCATCTCCACTTACTGATCTCTTAAAAATTGACAAATTGGTTTGGACTCCTGCAGCTCATGAGGCTTTTTGCAAGTTGAAACTGGTTATGAGTTCCACTCCTGTCTTAGCCTTACCAGATTTTTCTTCTCCATTCATTGTTGAGACTAATGCTTCTTGTGTGGGCATAGGTGCTGTCCTCCTTCAAAACAGTAAGCCTATAGCATTTTTTAGCAAGAAGCTAGGCATCCAATTGTCCAAAGCTTCTACCTATGTTCGTGAACTTTATGCCATCACGGAGGCAGTAAAAAAATGGAGACACTATTTGCTTGGAGCTCATTTTATTGTACGGACAGATCACCAAAGTATTAGGGAGTTGCTATCCCAAACCATCCAAACACCAGAACAACACAGGTATGTCCATAAACTCCTTGGCTATTCATTTTCCATTGAGTACAAACCTGGTTCTTCGAATATAGTTGCTGATGCATTGTCAAGGAAATTTGAGAGCACTGCTGCTGGCTCCTTGTTGCATATGTTCTCTGAACCACAATTTGGAGTCCTTGATACCATTAAGTCCGAAAATCTAACAGATCCAGACTTAATAACTTTGCACCAACAATTGGCAAGTGATTTGTTGGTTACCCTTCTTTCTCCGTGAAGGATGGCATTCTGTATCATAAGGGCTGTTTCTTTATAGGCTCCAAGTCCAAGTTAAAGTCAGAATTGATTGAGGAAGCTCACTCCACTCCTTTGGGGGACATGCTGGCTCTCTGCGTACTTTCCTTCGCTTATCTGCTTCCTTCCATTGGCAGCATATAAGACGTGACGTTAATCAATTTGTTCAACACTGCATTATTTGTCAGCAAATAAAGACCACTACTGCCTCACCTTTGGGATTACTTCATCCATTGCCTATTCCTGAGTTGAAGATCTCTCTTTAGATTTCATTACTGGCTTGCCTCAATCCCATGGTCTTTCTGTTGTCTTAGTTGTAGTGGACAGGTTATCGAAATATGCTCATTTCCTTAGACTGAGCCATTCCTACACAGCAGCAATAGTAGCTAAGGTATTTTGTGAAAACATTGTCAAACTCCATGGGTTTCCCCGTTCATTGGTTTCTGACAGGGACCCGATCTTCATGAGTCAGTTTTGGCAAAAGATGTTTGCCTTAAGTGGTACCAAGCTCAAGACCAGTTCTAGTTATCATCCACAGACGGATGGACAATCGGAGGTAACTAACCGTTACTTAGAACAATATTTACGAGCATTCTGTGCTGAGCAACATCACCGCTGGTCTTCTTTTCTCTGTTGAGCTGAACTCCATTATAATTCTTCAGTCCATTCCTTCATTGGTATGTCTCCTTTTCAGGCGGTTTATGGGTGGTTACCTCCTTCGATTCCCTATTATCCTCGTGGATTAGTTAAGGTTGAAGCTTTAGACACCCTTCTGTGCCAGAGGAATCAGATCTTGTCCAGTCTTAAGACTAATCTGGTGAGAGCTCAAGACAGGATGAAAAATCAAGCTGATAGGCATCGACGTGACTTACTCCTTGCAGAGGGTGATCATGTATTAGTCAAACTACAACCTTTTCGTCAACTTTCTGTTGTTCGGAGATCACATCAGAAACTAGCTAAAAGATTCTATGGTCCTTTTGCTATCAAGAAAGTGATTAGCCCTGTTGCCTATCAACTAGACTTGCCAGCCACATCTAAGATTCATCCTGCATTCCATATCTCTTGTTTAAAGCCATTTCGCGGGTCTCCTGGTGTACATTTCTCTCCGCTTCCATCTCATTCTGTTGACAATCAACCTGTTCAGCAACCTCTTGCCATTTTGGCTTCACGTTCGTCTGTGGTTCGTGGCATACCTCAGCTGCAACACTTGGTCCAGTGGACTGATACCGTACCTGAAGATGCATCATGGGAATCAGCTACGGATTGTGGATGAGAGAGTAGTTGTTACGAGCCCAACGAATAATGAATCACTACTAGAAAAAATCTCTATAGCGACGGAATTGCTATGAAAATTCTGTCGCTAATTTCATCCTCTATACTACTTTTCGTCGCAAATTTTCTCGCAAAATCGTTTGCGAGGGAATTTGTGACGGGAAGTAGTAGCGAGGATGAAATTAGCGACGGAATTTCCATAGCAATTCCGTCGCTATACAAGTTTTTTCTAGTAGTGAATCAATCCCAATCATGGAAAGCCCAAGTGTAGATAACAGCAACCATACTAGACCAGTGAGAAGAAGGGAAACTCCATTGTGGATGAGAGATTATACTTGTGAATAGAGAACAGATAAAGGAAACAAGTGAAGCGGTGGGCCAATCACACGTTAACAAGTAGGATAGACGGTTGATTGTTAGGTTGATACGTGTAACAGATTGTGATATGTGTAAACCAAATTCATATAAGTAACAGGCAATGTAAATGTACAAAGCATCTGATGAATAATACTTGAAGTCCCTTTCAATTTCCCCTTTTGTTTCTCTTCTCTTTCTTCCTTCGATACAATTCGTATCAGGTTTTGTGATGGATCTATTATGATAGATATTTGGACAAAATTTTGTCACAATTGCGTGACGGCCGCAATATTTGTCGCAAATTGCAACAACTTCAAGACCGTCACAAATGCCCGTCGCAATTTCATACTTTTCTAGTAGTGAATGGTGTAGAGAAGAGTTAATGAATTTTTGTATGTACAACATTCCTCTATGGAGGCATTTTGGTGCTCGAACATCAGACCCCAAATTCTTTAGATATCCGAATAATATATACGATCATATGATTCATGCTTATGATATAATCATAAGCATATCAAAATCAAATACCTACTACTTAATTGTCTAAGATTCTTACATTACATCAGCATGTAATATAATTCAAAACTCATAAGAATTGTAAATATGTGGACATGAAAGTTTGCCATATTTTAATTGACCTTAATATCACTCTTTATAATTCTTTCATCTATTATTATGCCCTTTATTTTTATTAATTTTACCCTTTCATTAATTTATAAATTACAAACTACCTTTTTTTATTTATCACGAAGAAAATGTCATTAATATTTTTTTATTTATTAATTCCTTTTTTTTGTTAAATACCTATATCATTATTCTTATTATCATTACTATATCTAAATTGATGATGACGATCATTTGTGTATGTATATGTATTTATAACTAAAAAAATTCAATTGCTAAGTTCAACAAAGTAATGGCATTAAGTGTAATTAGGAATTCAAGATGAGATTGAGCCTGTATATGCATTTGTGTTAAAAATCTGATATAGAAAATTTGCTGTTGTTGTGGTCTTGTACTACCCGAACCAAATTAATTAGATAATCGATTAACCGGCGGAGAAATTAAAAAAATGAGAATCTTCTATAAGTTAAATTTTAATGCATTATCAATGTAATTATTTATAAGTCACACTCAAAATCCAATGTTTAAACATCTAATTAAGTTGTTTGGTACCTCTTATAACTAAATAGCCTTTCGGAAGGGGATCAAAACCCTTGCAAAAAAAAAAAGAATGAGAAACCTGAGTTGGATTCTCATCAAATAAATCTTTGAAGAGAGACGAAGAGTTTTAATTGTGACTAAGCTCCGACTCATGATTAGACCCATAATCAACTCAAAGAGTTGAAGATTATGGGGATACCCGAAATAGACTTGCTTTAAAGAAATAATTAGGATCGGTAGAGAACGGAAAAAAAAAAATAAGCAAAATTTATACAAGGAAAACACCAAACAAGTCAGCGAATCCTTTGGCTGAGGTCATAAGGATTTAGTCTTCTCTCATTGCAATTGTCTGTTCCTATTAATCCGCCCCACGAAAGAGACAGTTTCAAGATGATAAACTTTACTTTGTTTTAACGTGCTTGACATTGCACTTGATACAAAAAAATTCACCTAAACAAAAGGTTATGAACATTCAAATGAAATGCTTTTGCTAGGGATTAAAACGTTAGAAGACAATGTTATGGTTGAAGAAAAGTTGTTCTGCTAGGCTACCACTGCCGAACCAAAGAAGAAATATATATTGAGTAACATTCTATGATCAAAGGGGAAATTGATTATTTAAATTTCTTTCATTCTTTTAGTCTGAATTAATAAAATTATATATAAATCGTACATGTATTGCATCAGATTGGCCCAGTAGTTGTACTAAAGAAACAAAATCCATGGTTTATTTAATCACATAATTATAAAGATGAAAGGTATTTTATGAATGTCAGGATCACCTAATCTTCTATTATTAATTTTCTCTACTATTGTTATGAATAGATAATTACATTAAAGATTTATTAAATGCACACAAAACTATTTAGCTTAATCTTTATTGATTTTGTTTAGTCAATTATTGTGTTGGTTGTGAAAAAGATTTTGATGGTATGTTTTTGTCCACTAAAATGTGATTTACTTGACCAACGATAGCTACTCCTTCGATAAGATTTCCAATTTTTTTTATTTTTTTATTTTATTTTTTGGGGGATGAGGGGAGCATGATAAAGTTTTGTACCTAAATAGTATATGACACTAATCATTTCATATTTGGATTTAGATTGCTATTGTCTCAAGAAAACTCCTCAACTTTTAATGTAGATCATTTGAGCTTGCATTACATTTCAGTTCATCATCTAATTTAACAAGAAGAGAAAATACATACACTAACTAAATTAACTACAAATATTATGAAGTTTCAATTACATTTCCCATTTTCCTAATATATTGGGACATATCATGGATAGGTATATAGTAATATCTAACACATGGGTAAAATATAGATTCTCACCATCACTTAAAACAATGGATTTTCTCCTCCCCCTCTTTTAGTTTTTTTTTTTTTTTGGTTCTTGGTGACATGGGAGAAGAGGGTTTAATCTATATAGTGGAAGTCACACCAAGAAAGTCAAGGAGGAATGAAGTAACACATCAATAATTGTTCCACATGTTGGGCATACCCACTTCAGATAAGTAACTCTCAGAACTTCCTTCACCTAAGCTTGGTGACCCTTTTAGACATGGGTTGGGTTGGTTTCTTTCCATCCTTGTGAGCTGACTCAAAACAGCTTTTAATACTTTGTTGTCACATGAAAAAGGGTCTAAGCAAGATTCCAAATTGGGTGCTCCTCCATATGTAGTTGCATGGTTGGCAGGTAATTTTGGCTCCATAGTGTTTATGTGGTTGAAAATAGGATTTGTTTGGTTGTGAGAAAAAATGGAGAAGCAGGGCACTTGCTCATATTCATCTGCATTGGTTTGAGCTTGGTCAAAACTGATGTAAGAGTCCATTAATGCAGGAAGAGATGAAGAGCCTGTTTCATCATAGCAACTATCCATGCTAGGTTTGGCAGCAACTTCTCTGTTTTTATAGAACACCCTACACAAAACCCAGTCTTCCTGTATGTACACAAGGTGCAATTTTTTTTTTTTTTTAATTAGAACAAGCCAAGGTCTTCAATAATGGATGAAGCAAAATGTTAAGAAATTAAAAAAGAAATAAATATGATTGCTCTTGTAAGGTTATGCCTTGTCTCAAATATAACAAATACCCCACAAGTTATCTTTAAATGTGGGGAATTTGTTACTTTCATAGGCTTACATATGTATTTGATAAAAAATTCAAAGAGGATCTACTTAGGTTAGCTACCCAATATCTTTTGTAGTCACATTCTAACCAATAGCCAGGTGAGACAAATTTGGTTTCGGTAGAGAGCAAATTAACATATTCCAAAAAGTCAAAAGTCATTAAATATTTATTTGCAAATCACATGCTGCCTCCCTAATTCATGCAAAGAAAATGATACTAGGATATATATTCAATCTGGATCTCCTTGTATTTAATGGCTCATATAAATAATAAATTAGAGTCATTATATATAAATAGAATCAATGGTTAATATTGTGTATAACACTTACACATGTGTAAATTTATTCTATGTAAGGGCAGTATCAATTTACATTATTGTAAGAATAAAAAGTCTTATATCCAATTTTAGTCATTAATCTCATTTGCCTCTAATGACTCATATAACTAATAAATTAAAATAGTTAGATATAAATATGATATAACACTTACATCGATGTAAATTGATTCTGACATATAATTTTAGGAGGGACGTTTGAAATAAAATGTTAACAACTTAATATATAATACTTTAGATAAATGAATAAATATATATAATTGAAATATTTTAAAGAAACAAAAGATTAAATGAATCCATTATGCATACCTTGGAAGAAGGAATTTTAGGAGGGCCATGGGGACCTTCAATGCGAAACTCATGCATGACCCAATCACTTTTCCTCCCTTTGGGTGCCCTTCCTTGATAGAACACCAAAGTCTTCCTCATCCCAACAAGAGTGCCTTTGCGGAGGATTGGCCTATCCTTCCCTGTGGCCTTCCAATAGCCTGAGGCAGTGGCACGGTTTGTGCGTAGCCCTGTTGCATATTTACGGTCTCTCTGTGAATAAAAATACCACTCCTTCCCTCCCACACATGCTGTTTCTGCATGCACAACCATTCATCAATCATCATTACTATACAATATTTTGAAATTAACTTGTGATTGAATGATATATCATTGCTAAGATATAATTATGGGTCAGAATCATTTTACGTAAGATACACTCTCAATCTTGATTATTGATATTTTTTATATCTAACAGTTTTGATTTATTAGATATGTAATCCGTTAAATGCAAGTAAATCAATAATTAAGATTTAGTGTAAGATTTTTTATTCTTATACTAGTGTAATAAGAATAACATGCCCTTGTAATTATAAATACATTACTATGTATAATAAAGAAAAAAAACGAGTGAGATATCATATAGAAACATGGGTGTTATTATTATTATTATTATTATTATGAATTTTAGAGATATATAATCTCTGGATTTCAGTAAGATGAGGAACATGTGCAGTTAGGTCAATAAGGTGTGAATGAGTTTTGTGTTTAAGTCAACTATATGATTAGTTAAAAACAACTGTTCTCATTAACAATATTATCCCTTGGTTTAATATAATCCTGAAATTAAATGATCATTACTTTTCTTTCTTTCTTTCTTTTTTTTCTTTTCTTTGTCTTATTAGAATTGATAATTTTGATTGTGGTAGAACATGGAAATATTTTGGTTTTGTTTTTGTGCAGAATTTTTTTTTTTGTTACACTAATATAAAAGTTAGTGGATCTTATTTATTTTTTTTCTTATTTTTACAATGGGATTCACTCATTTTTATGTGAGTGTGACAGATAATCTTTTTTACAGTAAAAACAGAAATATTTTTTCTATTATGTTATGGACTTCGAGATTTATTTTAAAAATATATATATTTTCGCAGACATAGAAATACATTTGGTTCTTAAGCAATTATTATTATTTGAATTTCAAATTATTCAGTTACTATTTGTATAGGCCCCATACTTCCATTTGTTTCTGAGTTGCCAATCCTTATCAGTTTCTTTTCATATATGACATGCTTATTAAAATACAAAACTAATTATGGTGATTTCATAATCAAACAGTTGATATTATTTCCAGAATAATATAAACTATGAAAGCATGGCCCAGCATACCAAAGCATTAATGTTGACCCATCATATCAGGCCTAGAAATCTTTTATGTCCCTTTTATAAAAATTACTAACAAATGGCACACATATATTTTAAAATTCAAGTAAAATTTTAAAAAAACAAATTAAAAATATTTAAAATTATAAAATAAGTATGTATCATTAATTCTGTTAGAATTTATATAATATTTAAATTGAAAAAATATACACAATTAATTAAAAAATTAAATTTATGTTTTAAAGAAAAAATAAAAAAAAAATCTTGAAATATTTTTTGTCCTTAAAAAAAATTATACAAGGGATTAATATTGCTTATTTACTAAAATACTCACTTCAAAATATCCAACTAAAGAGAAAAATACATGGTTGGATACAGCTAGAATAATGATAAAGCTTTTATCAAAAAGAAAAAAAAAAGTAATGATAAAGCTAGAGAGTTCAATCACTTTTTTTTTTTTTTTGATATAAGAGAGTTCAATCACTTTAACATGACATGTAAGGTAATCAGGTTCAGGTAAAGACGTGTCGTTGCATTATTAGTTTATTACAGTGAAAATCACTCTCAAACAGTTTATAATAGGACAAGTTCAATGTGTCAATTTATTCAAAACTCTAAAGAACTTTTTTTCTTTTCTTTTCTTTTTGAATACATAAACTCTAAAGAACTTTGAAGGTGATAAAATCATATATGATTTTTAGAGCTTCCCATTTAAAGCTGCTAACTAAGGTGTATGCACTTTTGTGTAAATGTATCCATATAAAAATTTATAGCAGTAATATTTTTAGGTACGGATGAAAAACATGGCTTTTTTTTATTAAATTAAAAAAAAAATCTCCAATATATTTATCTTTGTTATATATAATACTTGAGTGCAACCACTTGTCTGTATGTGTGAATATGGTTAGGATTGGAATAAAACTTATGTCCCATATGAAAATGCATAGGCTTATGTCAACGAGGATGCTCTCTAATTATTTCACAAGCAAGAAAATATTCAATTAACATTTAGATTATAACTAGTATTATTGATCCTAGAAACAAAATAATAATAATGAAAGTATATTGGTGTTTCCATTTAGAATTCATTAATTGGCATGTATAAAGCAACATAATCATAACTAGTAACTATTGGCTTCAATGGAAAAAACTTCATGGACTCTTCTACATGACATATTTCTAAGACATAAGTGTTGGGTTATATATGACCTATGAAAATGGAATTTAATTTAACTTAAAAAATAAATTTTCCCATGAAATAATTTGAAAAATGAAACTTTGGAGATATTCTACAATGCGTCATTAGCTACAGTTGGAAGGATTCATTTCCCTATCAAAGCATACACTGAATAAGTGCATGTATATATTGGGATCTATTATAGCCATTGCAGTTGCTATCATCACCTCACCCACACAATCAATTTACCCTTATCATGTTTTGAAACATAACAAGAATACAACAAAAATGAAAGTAACAACTCATTTGTAATTTACCAACCAATAGCAAACCGAAATGGATCAAAACATTTCCATTATAAGTAGCATATTATGTGTGGGGTGCTTGAGTGTGAGATGAAGAAAACAATAGGAAAGTTTCTGGTTCAATTTTATGAGAAAATTTAAACTATGAGTTATATCCAAGATAATAATTTGTTTAAGGTTTCCAAAGAGATTCAGGACTAACGAATATATAGAAAAAAAATTAAAAAAACGTGACAAGTATATATGTATATATATAAGGCAATAATTATATGTTATACATTAGAGAATGCATGATAATGAGGGAAATTAAGAGTATAACACAAGTACTCACCTGGAATATCCCATGGTTCACGCTTGTTAAGGTCAACATCAATCATGAGAAGGGAATCGCAGTGTGTCACCTTCTTCATCAAATAATCACATACAAGCTCTTCATCTCTAGGATGAAACCTGAACCCTGGTGGTAGCTTTGCCTCTACCATGCTTATGCTACTCATTTTCTTTCAACAAAGATATAAATAGGAGATGGAGAAAGTGAAAGTGAAAGAGAAAGAGAATAGAAAAAGAAGTTCAAACTTCAAGTGAGAAATTTGAGAGATCTCAGAAATATGAGGGGAAGAGAGGTGTGTATATATAAATGGGAGAGGGAACACAAGATGGTAAGTCAACTTGTAATTATGTGCAAGTAAGGAGGGTAGGCTTGTAATTAAGCTGTGCATCTCCTCACAGAGAGACTATGTGTATGATGACGTGCACAAACCAATCACTGCCACCTTGCTGAATTTATGTGTTAAGAATTTATTTCCATTTGTTAATAATTTAATTTATTGTTTGGAGATAATATTATAATAAGATAAATGTTCATATTAAAAAAGAAAAAGAAAAAAAGATAATAAGCTAATTATTATAGTTAGCACATGAAGCAGCCACTCTCAAATCAAAATAGGAGGAGGGGTCACTAGGTGATGAGTGATGACATATAGTCATTAATTTTAGTTTTGTCCACTTGTGCATGATCTCTCTCCTCTCAATTAATTTATTCTTTTATGTCAAGAATTAATAAATTTTTGTACATATGCTTGGTCCAAAACCTAGTGATAAATAATCCCCATGAGTTTTTTTTTTTTTTTTAATTGTATTCATATTGGTTGTTGATAAGCTGGCATCCACAGCATTTTTCTTGAATGACCTTTATTTAGAACAAAACTATACGAGTCATTATTTATTAATTTTGTTTATGGGTCATAGTGAATAATTTATATCTAATGAAGACAAATTAAGGAAACACACAGCCTAAAGAGTATTTTGTGCTGAAATCTGATAGGAGGGTAGGGGAGTTAGAACGTTAGGTGATCAATTTCGTCATTAGATTTAAAAAATGGGTAAATACAATCACTTAATGGTTTGATTAGTTGATTTATTTAAACCACGAATTAACCCACAAGAGTTGAAAAAGGCTACTTCTCTTTCAATTATTACAAATTCTTATTTAGGCATACATTAGTGGATAGTAAATAATATCCATATCCTCTCATGAAACAGAAACTAATATTTGTAATCCAAAAAAAAGAAACTAATATTTTGAGCAACTCTTGGGAATGAGAGAGAAAGCAATCCCGTACGGTTGGTTTTTTTTTTCCCCCATAAATTAAATAAGCTCCAATTTGCTGAAATATTCACCCATCACAAAGTTGAAAAGAAGACCTTTCGTTTCCTTTTAAAACTCAAAGGGTGAAGTAAGATTTCAAGATTAGCATAAGTTCATATTCAATAGAATTTTATGAAATAAAAATGCAATATTAAAACCTTTAAAGTAACATATGGATAATAATCATTCAGCACGTACAACATAAGTAATTACCAAAGTATATTGAAGTGCAGTTAAAGAAACTTTATTAATCTAAATTTTTTAGCATATATAAAAGATGAAATGTAAATAAGTAATTAAAAATAAATGCAACTATTTTATTTCAACCCTTCGTACATGTTAAATACCCCATTATGCTATAGGACGAGATGTTAAAAAATGAGTAATATATATGTAGTAAAATATTTTCAGAATAATTTAAACTTGGTCGTGTGAGGGTTACATTTGTCAAACTTAACACTGTTATGCAAAGTAGTATGTGTATAGTAAACAAGAAAGAAAAAAACCATCATTCTTGATTTATAATCTATCAGAAGTGACACCTTGACAATTGTCATTTGGGTAGATTCAGAACAAATGAAAAGTTGCTTCATATATATACTCAAACTACATATATGCTATAGAATTATGATGAACATTTAGGCCAAGTGGATACAGCCACACGTGAATTTGATTGTCAATGCAACTTATTTACTGTGTTATTCTAAGTCAACTTAATTGACATTTTCCTCCTACCATTATTTCAAATTCAATCCATGAATAGAGAGAGGAGAAAATTGAATATACGTATTATAATTGAAGTCATCAAGAAAATAGGGATATTGATAGAGTAATATAATAACAATGGTTGAAAAGAGGCACATATTCATGATGTAGACTAAAACCGTGTGTGCTATTGCGATCATATAAAAATAAACAGTTGGGGTTAGGGAATTTGATGACAAGGTTTGGCAAACGAGGCAATTGGGTGGCAAAATTGACTATTTCAATTTTATTTTTATTTTTTTGGTTAGGTAAATATAGGTTCTCCATTTTTAGGTATTGAATTTCGGTGAAGGGGTCACGTGTGTACCATAAATGTCTTCATGGAAAGGGAGGTGGCGGCAAGTGTGGCTTTTTTGAGCAATTTGGTATGAAGAAGAAGAAGAAGAATGGTGGGGTTTGAGTTTCTGTGAGCAAACTCAATTCAAAGTCCAAACATCAAACTGTTCATTGCAATAGTGATCATTGTTTCTTGCTTGAGCGTGCTAAACAATAAAACGATTTGTGAAGAAATAATTATGCAAACATCATAAAAAAAATTAGATTATAGTATTATATATTAAGAAACTAACACTTATTTTGTTATAGAATCATCTTGACCCACAATGTTATTCTTTTGAATGATGCAGTCAATTTTTTTTACACCCATATGATTAAGAAAAAGTGTAATTCCTTATGCATCTCTCTAGAGTCTGAATATAATATTGCACTTGTCTTAGTTAAGTACTAGCCGTTTCTGAAGTGTTGAATTGAACTTGACAGTTACTAGACAGATTTTTTCTGACAGAAATTCAATAAAAAGATTCAAAATTTAGTAGTTATGATTTATGAATGAGTTGAACTAGTGCACTCATCGTACTAGACTTGGCCCATTAATTACACACAGTGGCACTTCAATTGCCTAAAATATAAATTGGATTTGGAAACGAATCTTCTATTGTTTATAATATAACTGCATCACATGCAATTGAATATTCTCAAACTTGCATTTTTTATTATTATTATTATTATTATTTTATCATAGAAGATATAAATTAAAGGTGGAGATCGTCTGCAGTTAATTTTTCAACCATAAGAGTATCGTGATACGAATATTGAATATTCGCTTAGGTTCACTTTGGTGTAATGTGTAATCAAGTGAAGTGTGATTACGGGGATGAAAATTTGGAAACAAATGGTATGTTTTACTTGTGAACAGAATCTCTGTCATGTGCCAAAAATAAAGAAAAATAAAAAGAAACTAGGTTTAGTTTTTTTCACCTAGGTTAAAGAATAATGGATTTGTTTATTAGAATTTTGAACATACTGATTTTAAGGGTTGTTCTTAAAACATAAAAGTTTTACAATCTCTTACAACTTATTTTTTTATCGTTGATTTCTGTCAATCCAACGGTTATGATTTATTGAGTCACATTTATTAATTAATTATAATTTTCAATAAATTATAACCGTTGGATTGAGAGAAATCAACGGTAAAAAAATAGATTATAAGAAGTTATAAAACTTTTAGGTTGTAAGAATAACGCTCCTCAATTTATTTTAAATCATCTAAAAACCACACAAGAAATTAAACCATTGTTACAGCAAGGTTGCACACCACTTCCCGCCGTTTGGGAAAACTCAACATCAACGTGTGTCTTAATTATTCCAGGCCTACCATTTGCATGTGAGCATTATCAAGATGGGATGAGGAACTGGGATTATAACTTTGTCAAAGAAAGTAGGCCATGGCTTCATGATATTAGTGTATAAATATATGTATATATCTACATCTATATCTATATATATATATAATACATATATCGACATGAAAATTATATATCAGAAATTTGAAGCAAATTCAACATCCTGATACTTTAGTGAAAGGTTACCCTACCACTACTTAAAGTAACACAAAGTATAACGCATACATCCATAGAAGACTATGTTCTGCGCTTTAGGTATTTGCTGGGAACGGAAATATTTAATATGTTCCAGGACCATCCAATGATTTGGTGCTCTCTCTCACAACACTAATTTTTTCTTTTCCTTTTTATTCCTGTTATTTTTTTTCTTTTCTAATTTTGCCCTTCCATTTACACTAAGGGACCACCTAAAAAATAGTGGTCCCCGACCACAATGAATTTTATCAGTACCATGCACAATCTGAGCTAGCACATCAAACTTACCAATATCTAATGACTCTTTTTTCAATGTAAATCCCACAAGGGTGTGGTGACTGAGGTCAAAGTCCAAACAAAGAAATTCAGAAATAACATTAGCCAAGTTAACAGGCATCTAATACTAAAGCATCGTGCTTTAGGTAGTGTTTGGTTGAGGAGAAACTTTATAATACTAAGAAAATGTAAATACTAAGGATCTGTAGGGAAATTGAGTTAGATAGGAAAATTTTAAAAAAGTTGTTTGGTATGGCAAAATTTTACCAGGAAAATTGAGTGAAATTTTTGAATGTATGTTTGGTTGAAAATAAAAATTTGATGGGGAAATAGATAGAATTTACGAAAGCAACCTTTTCTATAAAATTTTGTACGATTGCAACATATAAGAAGAGGGGTATTAATGTCATTGTCTTCACCCACTTTTTCATTTCTCCAGTTTTTGACAAGAATACCATGTCTCAAACAGCATTTATCAACAATGTTTTTTACCTTCTTAACACACATTTCTACTTAGATAGACAAATGTGTTTGATGGATAAAAGTTATAAAATCTTTCAACCAAACAAGGAGAACAAGGATTGTCACATGTACTTAGATGGGGAAATTTTGAGAATCCCTCAACCAAACACTACCTTAGAGCCAAAAGAATCTCAGTTTATGCATGGTCTAGATTCTACACTGTGACAGAAGCAGTAAGAGACAAACTATAAGAATGATTTAATTTCAAAGTAATTCAGAGTCAAAGCAGTATTTGTGTAGCCAACCTGTAATAATTATAATCATTAAAGGTTACGACATTAAGTCCAATTTTGGAGAACAACGGTGCAGAGTTAATTGGGAAATTGATAAGAGCATGGTTATGTGTCCAAATCCAATCGTTCTATATAATTCCATGAAGTTTTGAAAAGTCTAGTTATCTTAGTGCACCTCTAAATACTTTGTCTGAAACATGCAAATACGGTTAGTTTCCATTCAAACCTAAATGATGAAAATTTGACCAGTCCATGAGAGTGATCTCGTGC